ACTTTTTAAGTATCCACAATTTGTTCACAGTTGCGAAACGTTGCCAAAACTTACTTGGATCGAAAATATCCTATAGATCCTAAAAGTTAACAAAAACAGTTTATATATACTCAATTTTTCCATGAAAAGTTTGGTCGAAATTTGCGAGTTAGTCTACTCCCAAGCATATTAAACAACTCTGCTTGACCGGTCACGAACAAAGCACGATGATCTGCGCTGATAAGCCGAGATAAATTACGATATTTCACTTATGCAAAAATACATACATACGTACATATGTTATGCAAATATCAATTGTTTATTATTTAAGGCACCGAAACGAACGAAATTTCGCCGCAAAAGTAGTGAAAATAAATGTAATCTAAAGTGCCGACGCGGTGGAGGCATGCAACCGCTAAACGCTTGCAAATTTATGATCTCAATAATTTTGAATATCGCACGATATTTTTTATTTTATTCTTCACTTCACTGCCAATACTGTATGAAAGCCAGCGAAGAGCCACTGTAATATATTTAAAAATGCCGATCTGCTGCTGCACAGCCGCTGATGAAGATCCTTTTTGGCGAACGCTGCGCCCTTCAACCTTTTGGATTAACACACGAGCGCACACACACACACAAATGCCGCTGAAGAAATATTGAACTGAGATTTGGGGTCTTTTGTAGCCATTGGGCTTTGTAGCTTTGGCGCACCAAGTACGTATTTGTTATATTTTGACAGCTTCTGCCTAAGCGATGCTTATCTAAGACGTTGGGCACGCCAGCTTTTGTAGCCGCCGATCGAGCGGCAGCGGCGAGAGCAGCGACTGCTCGCAGAGTTGCTGAAATGTTTGCTTTTCGTGCTTTCTTTTGTTACAGTTGTTGTTGTTGTTGTTTGGGTATGCTTAGAGGCGCATACAAATGTTCACAACAAATTGTTCGCTCGATAAAAATGTATTTATGAGCACACACACATACATACAAACACACAAAGAATTTATTTGCAAATATATTCGTAGGAGCAAGCGATCCCCCCACTGTGCTGGCGGCCTAACGAGCCTCGTTGACATCGCTTTGTTTCGTTGAAGGAATGAATATCAGTTCGCTATTGTCTCCGGTTGCCAAAATTAATCACTTTGCATAATTTTTTGAAACCCTTTTTGCCCATTTTTACAGTTATTTTAATTGCAAATATTTAAATTGGCGGCGTAAAGAAAAATATGAGCGGAAATTGGTGTGCCTTAATTCCAAAGAATCGAAGTAGACTAACAAGGTGAGCAAAAATATCTAAGGTAGCTTAGGGAGTGATAGGTAAGACTCTGTTCTGGTCTTTAACTGCGACAAAAAGAATAGCTAAAGTGAATATTCAGCTAAGTGACAACCCAAAGTTGTCTTTTTTATGGACTGAAATCAAAAATATTATTAGCCACAACTTTCTCTTCGAAATCTCAGTAGTTACCGTCTTCTTCCTGACCTCTACGCCATTCACTAAACGTGTTCGATTCGCCACTCCGCTACTCGCTACAATTGTGCTCCTGTGAAAATTAGCAAATGTGAATACAACAACAAAATCAACAAGTTGACATGAAAAACAGCGATTATCTGGAGATCACATCAAACTACTAGAAGCCACGTTCCGTCCATCCCTACGACAGTCGGGTCTAAGTAACTGAAACGAAGTCGGATTTTTACCCGGCCGACTGTCAAAATTACTTCAGGAATGTTTTCTGGCGCTATGGTTATGGTATATCAGGTTTGACTCCAACTTTTTTGTACCTTGGATATTTCGATGTTCAAATTTCTTCTGCAGGTTAGAACGGTTGGCATTCCGTCTGCTGGCTTATTAATTCCAAGCGATACCGTTGTGTCTGGATTTCGTCTCAGAACACGCTTCTGAGAATTTCGTTTCACAAGGGTAATTAAGAAACCAAACCAATTCTTAATTACCCTTCCTTAATGCTACCTTCGTTTCTAAACTAACTCTTAATACTCGTGAGCTTAAACTTGGCTTACAACATAGAGTTGCCAACAATTACCTGAGGACCGAAATAAGGAATGATGAGGGACTTGTCGAGTTTGGTCTTTATTCGTCGAGAGAGAACTTTACCTACTCAATCGAAAGTGTTAGCAAGAGTGATTTAAGACTGATATTAATGTTGGTGTTGACTGGTTCAAAGATAAGACCTTATATGCGATATTAAGGGACCTTATCCCACGATAACTGACGCAGATTGTGTGACTCCTGTTGTTGTTGTAACGGCAGAATTCTGCCGAGTTGACAGTCCTTGGCCGGATAAAAATCCGGGTCCGTTCCGGTTTTCGTAGACCCGACTGTCGTGGGAATGATGATGTGATTCCTCCATATCTTGTAAAGAAGCTGATTATTGTCAGGTCTTCGTCGCCGTATTTGAATTGCTCGGCCGGTAATCCATTGGCCCTTGCCGCTTTGGAGTTCTTCAGACAGGTAATGGCTTTCGAACCTCATCATAGTCGGGCAATGGAACATCTATGCCCTTGTCGTCGATTGGGGAATCGGGTGCGCCATCTTCAGATGTTACAATTTCACTGCCGTTAAGCGGGCTGAAGGAAGTGTTCCCTTTTCCAGCCACTAGATCACCTCTTTGGGTCCTGCAAAAGTATACTCCGATCTTGAAACCTTCCCACCTTGTGGTCGATCACAACAGTGCGAGGAAGGCCATCCGACACGACAGTCCTCATCGTACCAMCTGTTCTTTCGACCTTTACGAACACCAATAGCAGGCCGTCTAAATATCATAGACGTTCGTTTTGACACAATCTGATCAATATGATTTTAAATGCATTACATAGGGTTTCGTAGGATTTGTCTTTTCTGAAGAATAGGTAGGCATTGGAAAGAATCGGCGATCGGCTCAACGACCAAAAATGGTGGGAAGAGTTTGTTTGCAAGAAAGCAGACTTCTATTACCAAAGAAGAGAAGATCTTGGTGAATATTAAACTGAGATGAGTGATTTATTTGCAGATTGGAAGTTTGAGCCTTAGGAATGCGAAAAGCTTGATGGGTTTTCTTAAATCATCACTTCATCATCATAAGGACCTGGTGGTCTGACATTAGAAACCGATGAACTGTAAAGCCTCAGGTCTCAGGAATAAATCAATTATACAAACCGAACGTATCAACCATTGAAGAAACCTATTTCTCCTTTTTCCTTTCACCCCACCCATCCCTGATTGCGTTGTACCTCTCTTTCAACAGATTGTGGGTAGAAATCATAAGACAATAGGAACATTTGTTTTGATGGACAATTCGATAAGTTGTTCATCATCATCATCATCATATATGTATGTGTCTTTATATAAAAAATCGAATTTTGGTCCATTGGTTGACATTAACCAGTTGTATAAAGACCTTGTCTATTTTAAGCGCCTTCATGTATTTGTTGCAATTTTCAAGACACTTTGCTCAAATATTTGTATTATATAATATGTAGCAACACGCCTCTCCTGGGACGCATGAGCTCTCTTGTTCTGTGTCTTATATGTGCTTTATAACCAAATCGGTGTGCAATGGCGTCAACCTTTGATGTTGATTCACCGCCCGTTGCCAAAGCGGACGGACATGTGTTTTGTATGTACTTTTGAACGGACGGACGGATTTGCGGTCCAAATGGTCAAAGCGGTGTGCAATGAAGGAAAAATCTCAGTTAAACGAGATGAACAAACAAGGCCAGAGCAACCCACGCAAAAGCGGCAACAACAATGGACACATACACACATACATAAGTACATACATATTATTTTATATAAATGTAACAAAGTATTGGCATGGTAAGGCAGACACTTGCGCCCAGACAAACACACACAATTCTTTTTTTTCCAAAACCCAGTAAGAAAATAATATTTAAGAGGCAGATCTAGAGTTATATATACATATAAGCAATAAAACGGGATCAATTTGCTGGAAGATATACTTACAGACTTGAGAATTTCTCCAGGGTCCAGATCTAACTGGAAAAATATTTGATTTTTTTTTTTCGAAATTCGAGTGTTTATTCCTAAAATACGTACATATGTATAATATTTTTCTTGACACATTTGCCAACTTCCAAATGTCTTCTATATAGAAAATGTGGCATTAGACATTGAAGCTAACCTACAATTGCCATTTTTACCATTTCCTAGCGGGTGTGCGAGTGTAAGTATGTACGTACATATGTATTCATAATGACTGCATGCTTGTTCATGTGCATATCCAATGGGTCAATTGTTGCTGAGGTGAATTGCATTGAACCGTGTTTGTTGCCGAACAAGTTGTTTGTTGTTTAATCGGATTCTGGCTTATTGTTGCTGATATGTATTGTGCCATTCATGTTATACTCGTATGTAAGGCTTGTAAATTTTATTTGCAATTTGAGCAACTTCATTAATATCGATGGTTAAATAGTGGGCACAAATAAAAAAATATACACATGCAGTTATATATATACATTTATATTTACATTTGTATATACATAAACTACACTAATATGCGATTATAGCAAACATAACTGAAAGTATATGTATAGAATATTTAATATAATAAGAGTTAAGTTTAAGTTGAACAAAATTTGAGTATAATTTTCTGGAACTATAACAACAACAACAACTGCGAAACAATAATTTCATTTTCCATTAAATAAAATATTGCAATCAAAATGCAAAAAGACCGGTATATAAAACAACCAAATTCTTGACCTGCAAGACAAATAGCTTAGCATAACATACCTTCAGGCGCAAAAATATGTCTTTCAGAATGCACAACTCTAGCTTCGATTTGAAAGCCTTATTAAAATTAAAACAACATATTTGCTTTATATTAATCAAAATGAATTTATGAAATCAAACTTTTGTAGTTAATTAATTTAACAATTTAAATACACTCATTTTTTATTTTTTATACTATTACATCAAATAGCCGAACGCATTGCGGTGCCACAACCAATCTCATTTGGCAGCACTCGTCAAAATGGCGTTTGCAGCAAACACTTTCCAAACATTTCCGTATGTGTGCAAAATAAACAAGGCGTCATTCCGTAATTAAACTTAATTTTTGTGGAATTCTTTTATAAGAGGCGTTTAATTGTTGTGATTATATAGAAAACGCCTTGCGTTATGAACGTATTGCTTAAGTGAATTGTGTGTGTTTTGTGTTTGTAAAGCTCTTAGTACACGGCGAGGTGTAAAAAACCGCATAACCTCTTGACCAACAACAACAGTGGAGGGCACAGTCTAAACGAGAATGACAGAAGAAGCGCCAAGCAGCAAAAAAATGCCGCGAAAACCAAGATCAGCGCCAATAAATATAGCACCGAACACTCCTACCAAATTGGGAGCTAACGATGAAATATTAAGTTCACTTCTACGTCTAAATAATTTCGATTCAAATATTAAGGATGAATCGTTGGACATCGATTTATCTGCCTGCGTCACCATAAGCGGCGACTCGGCCGCTATGCTCGCCACCACTAACAGTCTATCAAGTACGGATTTTTGGCGAGTTTTAGATGAAAGCGCGCAAAATGCGCACCTTGAATTGACGAATGCTAGTGATGATGTGCAACACCAACTGGTTTGTGCCAGTTTAAGTGATGATGGTCTCGATGACAGTTCCATTATTGACGATTTGCCAAATGCTAGTTACGAGTGTAAAACAAAAAATCTTGATACACATTATTTGTGTAGCAGTGGTAGAGATGCCAAAATTGTTGGTGGTGTCATAATAAAAGAGGAGAAACCGCAACATAGTTTCAGTGGCACATTTTTACGACCCGAAGCACCGCCACCAACACCATCACCCTTAAAACGATTATTGATAAAACCACATCAAGCGGATTTCCAACGACAAGCTGAAAGATGCTCGTCAAAAGAGAAAATTAAACGCGATTTAAAAAACGAAATCCTCACAATTGATCGAGCATATCAATTGAATGCAACCCATATAGACGATGCGGCCGTGGATAATATCCAAACCATTGAAAATAAAACAAACGACATCAAAAGTGCACCCACTAATCATGTTGTAGTCAGTAGCAACCAATCGATCTCATCATCTAGTTTCAATATTTTTACAATGTCTAAAGACAATACACCAAGTGGTAGTAGTAATAGTAATAATTTAGTACCAACATCAAAGGTTGAAACTTTAGGTAAAAAAGAGTGTGGTACTCAAGAAAGCGGCACAAGTGCTGCCGAACCGGTATTTAAGTGCCTGGACTGTGATGGTCTCATACTTCAGGGACGAGGCGAATACGCCACACACGAGGCTGTTGGACATCGCGTGCACTACCGATGTCCGGTGTGTGATAACGATTTTGAACAGGAAGCGGCTTTAAAGAAACATGTAAAAACCCATCGCTCCACAGATCCACGAAAAGATGCTTGGAAAAAATGCCCCGAATGTGGAAAATGGTAAGAATCTCTATATACGCTTAATATACATCAAGTAATTTACAAATATATTTTTTCATTTCATTTCATCTTAGTCTTAAATTGGGCAGCATGTGGATGCATCGCAAAATCCATAGTGATAACAAGAAATATGGCTGTGATATATGTGGCCAAAAATTTGTACAAAAGATCAATTTGACTCATCACTCTCGTATCCATACTGCTGAAAAGCCTTACGAATGTCCGGAATGTCAAAAGAGGTAAATATAAAATTTAAATTTATCGGAGAAAAAATTTAAATTACAAAATAATCTCTTTTTAAGGTTCCAAGAACGTTCACATTTGCAAAGACACCAAAAATATCATGCACAAACCCGCTCGTACCGTTGTGAAAAATGCGGTAAAATGTACAAAACAGAGCGTTGTCTTAAGGTGCATAACCTAGTGCATCTCGAGCAAAGACCTTTCGCTTGTAACGTCTGCGATAAATCCTTCATAAGTAATTCGAAACTCAAACAGCACTCTAATATACATACTGGCGAACGACCATTCAAATGCAACTATTGCCCAAGAGACTTCACCAACTTTCCGAACTGGCTGAAACATACACGTCGTCGGCACAAAGTAGACCATAAAACCGGCGAACATTTGGAAAACATTCCCTCATATTGTTCCAAGAAGTCCACCAAAGCGGCTAAAGCAAAGGCCGCCGAAGCTAACACAGAGGCAGCGTCAGCATCGCTGACTACGAAGTCTATTACAAACGATTCCAATAAAGTTTCATCAGCGCAAAATCTAAAGCCAGGCGACTCCAACGCGTCAACGCCAAAATCTCAAGCATCTAAACGCAAGAAAAAATCGGAGCAAACACCAACGGTGCAGACTGCACCCGCGCCGCAACCGCCGCCACTAGTATCGATTAGAGATGACCATCCCTTGCCAACAATCGCGGTATCCACATTATCGGCGAACATCAAAACCGAAGTGACGCGTGCGAGTAATATAATGACTTCGATACCGATGTCAATGTCACAACACTTGAAACCAGCAATAGCAGTTGGCGCGTTAAACAACACATTAAATAAAATTGGCACAAGCAAAACGGCTAAACCAAAGCGTGAGCGAAAACAACCGTCACCCAAACAAGTGCAAAAAGCTATTCCGACAACACCAGCTTTGTTGTCTTCAATAAAACGTGAAAATACCGAAGCAGATGCGATCTTCAATTCACAAGCGAGCATATCGTTACTAACAGATACCCGGTGTGCAATCAGTGGTTTCCCCGACCTGAGTATCACTTCGGCAGAAGAGCTCATTATGGAGCAGGCGCTTGAAATGGAAGAATGCGGCTTGTATGTGGGACAGCCCTCTGTTACAATAGATACCGATAATGCGATCTCCTCATCAGAAGCTACAGCGGCGCTACACTTTAAAATAAAAAGTGAATTCGATCCAGTGGACTTGTCTTCGACGCGCATTAAAGAAGAGGATCATGGTAGGTTTTTTCTCTGGAAGCTATTTTATCCAGTTTTACTACAATTTGCAATTATATTTCAGGTACATTAAAAGACATGAATCAGCGGTTATTATGTTCATCATTAGAGTCATCTCCGTATTCTTCACCAGCATCGATCGAACTGTCGACAACGCCGTCTGTCATGCCTATGATGCAGTCAGTGCACATAAATAATATTACCAATATGCAAACGACATCTGATGGTGTGAATAGTTTTGGGCTAGATCCATTTACGCTAAATGGCCAATGCCCAAAAGTAGTTACTAGTCTCAATAATTCATTGACGCACCAAACTGCCGCCGATTTACAACACCAGTTGCCTCAAGCCACAACGCATATTGTGCCGGCGAATACGCATACGTTGCCAACAACTACGCAAGCGATTATCAATCATTTCTATTTACATCCGATGACCACAATGCCGTTGCTGGCGCAGTCTACAACAAACCAAAAATTACCCTCGGTGAATACTTTGCTATTTTCGACAGCTGGAAATACAGCAAATGTCAGTTCCACCGCCTCCAGTGCCGCTGTTAACGATGCAAGATATTTCCATGGCAAGAGCATAACGGCCCACGTAGTTGCTTCGCCGTCAGCAACGCCAGTGGGGCGATCGAAGCTCACCTAAGCCGACAACGATAGCAGTATATAATGTCCACTTGACTAGTCAGCTGTTTAACTTTTCGTACAAAATTCACAGATGAGTTTTCCAGTGCGACTTGACCTTTTTTAAAACAAAACTTTAATATATGCTACAAAATAACTAGTTTTTTCTACAATTTTCGTACAAAAATAAAAATAAATACATATATATATATATATATTTTATTACAAGTTTTTTATTTTCTCAAAAATTACTTTATATAAAGACAAATTAATAATTATAGAAAAACATGATTTTTTTTTTATTTAATCAAGACATATTCTGTAGCAAGTTCAATATATAAGCGCCGATATCTTCATCCTGATTAGTCCATGTTATAAGTATGAATTTATGTTTCGGATCATTTTCATCTTCCTCAACCTTAATTTCAACTGTTTCGACACAAATCGTGCAACTTTCCTGCATGCTAACAGTCCAGCCGACTAATTTCTCTTGTAGCAGCGCGAAAAGTTTTTCACCCGTACGCAAGCGGGGGCCAGGATCGTCCATTTTCACCTTGGAAGTAAAACGCATCACATGACGATTAATACCGAATTCCTTCAAAGTATCGGTTAGATTCTGCAACATAATACGATTATCTTTCATAACAAGTACGCCGTGTAAGAGACGTCGTCGCTTTGGATCTGGCGGTTGAGCATTGTATACGCGGGCTTCTGCTTTGAGCAAAGATACGGATGCATCGACAGAAATTTTCACAGGTGTTGAAATAACTGAAGTTTCTCCGTTTGCAGGCATATAAGTTTCAATGTTGAACTCCTCCATTATTTTGGTGCGTAAAAATTGCATTTTTTCAGCCTCACCATGCACTAACATCACATTTTTAGGCTCACAATTTTGTATTAGTTGCATAATACCTGGAAGTAGATATTTATTATATTTTTAGCATTTTATGCTAAAATATGTAAATATTAAATGTGCATCACCTTTTGCGTCAGCATGCGCCGAGAAACTTAAATATTCCACAGACATTTTCACCTCCACCACTTGTCTATTTTCGAATTCGACTTTCTTTGCACCACCAAGAATTTTATTACCTACTGTGCCCTGAACGCAATATCCAGGCATGATAACCATATTATTTTCATTTGGTGCCCATTTCTTAAAAATCTGCAATGACAAACCAGCATGCAACATACCTGGCGTAGCAAATACGACCATAGCTCCGGGATTATCAATATAAGCTTTATCGAATGGCTTAATATGCTTAAAGTCAAACATATTTCGTTGCACAAACGTTTTACGTATTTTCTGGTTGGTCCATGTGATGAACATTTTATAATACGTATTCGCTTTTTCCGTCAAACCCACTGCAAAATATATGGGAAATTTCAAATTCATTCGTTCCCAATAAGTTTCCAATAAAATGCAAAGCTCTTGGGCACGCCCCAAAGCAAACACAGGTATTAACACTTTTCCTCCTTTGGCAACACATTCATGCACTTTCTTAAGGAAATCACGCTCGCGACAACGTTTCGAATCACGTATAGTTGTTGCATATGTACTCTCGGAAATTAACAAGTCCGGCCTGCATTTGTCTATCCATGCAGCGCCTAAATGACGATCAGGTGTCATATTATAATCGCCCGTATATACAACCGATTGTGAGCCGACCCGTAACCAAAACATTGCAGCGCCCAACACGTGACCGGCATAGTAGGCTTTGATCTCCAACTCATTGTCCACCATAACGCTTTGATGCAATGTAACAGCGGTAACCTTTTTCATGCAATCTTTTATCATTTGTGTTGTGAAGAAATTTGACTCGCCTTTGCGCTCCACAGCCACCTTTCGCATATCTTCTAATAAAATTGGGGCAATAGCTTTGGTCGGATGCGTCATGTAAATAGGACCGGAATAGCCTACCATCTCGGACATATACGGCAAGGCACCGCAGTGATCTGCAAACACCCAACTTTACATAGGGTTTTGTTCATCTTATGTTTCTTTTTACTTACCTAAATGAAAATGTGATATTATCACACAATCAATGTGACTTGTTATTGGGCCTTCTGGGACGATATATGAAAAATCAGGGAAACGGCGTTCATCATTGTACCCCATGTGCATACCACAGTCAAGCATGATGTTTTTGCCACCCATTGATAATAGTAGGCAACTGCGTCCAACATCCTGACCAGCACCCAATGGTGTTACTTTAATAGTTGGCATTATTTCCCCTCAAGTCAATTGTTTTGTACTTATTCGTTGAAGTGGAAAATATAATTAATATATCCTTGCTGGTAGAAATAGGCATAAATATTTAAAACACTAAATACAAGACACCTGATAAAGTATAGTTTTAAGGCCAATGGAAATAATAAAAACAATGCAATGAAATAAAAAACTTTCCGTTATGTTCACGCATATAGATTAGGCGCAATTTAAACAAAACAATTTTTTAGGATGTTTATATTAGGGGCAAGATTGCACATTGCAAAAATACTATACCCATTAGATAGATAGATAGGGTTCAATTCCCCGTCGGGGAGATCTAGTGATACATGAACGGCTGATTCGATCAATTTATTGTGAATGACTATTATGCACGGCTATTGTGAATTGGCTCACCTTTTGCATACATTTTTAACATATTTATTTTTAGTATCTCAAGAAATGTAAAAACTTCATATTAAAAATCGCTTAAGAAACTGTCAAGTAACTTTCCTGCGATAAATATACTTGTGCTTGTGCAGCTCTACAGAAATCTAGTACTAATTTTTAATAAATTTTTTCAATGAAATGCGAATATGGCAAACCTGGTTTTGCGAAGAAATCGTTTATTCTCTCTTACTCTCTATTGTGGCTCATTCACAATGCGTAACCAGGGGTCAAAGTTACTTGAAGAAATTTTATTATTATTTTTTTCTTGAGCAATTACTTGAGCTTGCATAGCAACAACTCAACAATTTAACGACGTAATTGTCTTTATATAAAATGACAGCTAAAACAGGTTTGCGTGACATTCATTGCACTGACTTTTTACAGCCTTTGCAAATAATTTTCTGCGTGTTTGTTTATTGTGCCGGTGCACCAAAAGGAAATATATGCAATTCTTGCATAACTATATCCCTCCATAACTAATTGTATAATATGGCAGAAAATGATGAAATGTTAAATCAATCACGATTATATATTTATATTTAACTTTATTATATATATATTTTATATATAATATAAATATAACCCATATAAAGCACAATCAGTTACCCAATCAGTTACTCATTTCCAATTGACTTCCAAATTTATTTCCAATAGTGGCAACTATGCCGCCATCACCGTTTTTTCGTATTCGCTATTTATTCTTATTCACTCGTTCGTCAAATTTTTGCTGTCTTTGCCGTGGTCGTGTTTTTGCGTGCAGTTTATGGTTTATGTTTCTCAAAAAAAATTGGCAAAAGGTCACTGAAAGCAGCAAATAAGTAGTGAAATAAAATAATACGTTTTTAAATGTTTAAATGTAATTGTTGTAAGTGCATTATGTATTAGAAATATTTAACAATAGAAAGACGTTCTCGTTGCTAGTCAACGAATTCATATTGGTGCGGTTTGCTGGCAAGGTGAGCGTTTTGGAGGCGTCATATACGTTGTAGAATGAATCCCATTTCCCTATGAAAATTAGAATTTACTTTGAATATCGCATGTGTTGGCAAATAATTTACAAATGTTAATATAACTAAAGAAGCGCATGGCATTGCCAAGGGAAATTACCGAACACTCGACAGCCATAACCAAAGATTTTTTCCGCTTTCTGCACTCGAGTTTAACATTTTTAAGTGTGCTTAACATAAGACGAAAATAACGTGTGTTTTTTGAGTGTTTAGATTAAAATACGTTAATGATATAAATGTGAAATATATATGTATATATTACAATTAAACAATTTTGGTTGAAACCAAATTCTTCGCGCAAAAAAATGCCACAGTTGGATTCACCCTAACAATCGTTTACTATTGGTCGGTGATGTTGTCATATTGTTTTCTAATTTTAGAAGAGGAGCAATCGAGAGAACTTTTACGAGCGTCTAAAAAGAGTGTTGGTGCATCATTATGGCTATTTCCCACCTCCTATTCCCGACGGTAGCTATCAACTGAAAACAACCAACATTGCCTTCGATTTGAAATGTGTGAACAACAATTGTGTTGAGTTTCAATTCTAAAAAGCTCTATCAAGTGGTTGTTATTTGTGTAGTTTCCAAATAAAAGTTAAATTTTTAAGGCGACATTACAACGTTATTCTAACAGTATTATTACTGATTTGGATGAGTGGATTCAAACCCTAATCGCTTTTATTTTATGTATATTGCCAACATTTTGTCATCACTAAAAATGCACACCTTTAAGATAAAAACGTTATCAGATGCAGGCGAACAAAATTAAAAATTTATAGACGGTTACTAGTAACAGACCTATTTTTCGTTCCTTGAATTATCAGAAAAACATATGCACAACGTCTATAAATTTTCAACTATATTCGTGTTTTGTTCATTTTCCTTTGGTCTCTACTTTCAATCTCTCACCGAGTCATTTGTGAACGTTTACTAACAAATGAAGGTGCCTCTTTGACACCTTTAAACTAAATCACAATGTGCAAAGAGAAGCACGACAATCGAGTTTTTCTATTCACATTCGAACACTAAAGCGCTCGCTATGTTTTCTTTTTTATACACAAAAATTTTCTTTTATTTTGCTGATCCGTAAAAGAAAATTATTTCTACAACCGCATAACCAACATAAACACCGAAAAGGTAGAGTGTGAAAATAAAAAATTAAAATGTTTCATAAATATTCTAAGCATTATATACTGGTGTCTATTCTTATTTATGTAAGTATAAAGTGATATAATGTGCATGAATAGCGGTACCAAATAAAAAGTAGAAAATAAGCAGTTTTCTGAAGATAACTATTTACAGAACATATGCGCCAGTGATTATTTATACATAAGTAGTTATACATAAGTACATATGTAAAATCGAAGTGTGTGCAAGTCTGCAAGTTTTCCTGAGGACAAGTGTACATTCAGTTTGTTTGCAGTTCCAATGATCAAGCCACATGAAGGTATTAACAACTATTTACCTCACAAATAGGGTTTTTATTATTGGGAAATCGCCTGAGTTATTTGCAAAATGCGCTGGTATTTTCAAATTGTGTAATCATTGATTTTTCAAAGTGACGTTTCATCTCAGCTGCACCAGTTAATATACCCAAGTGTTAATATGGCTATATGGCTCAAAGCAAGTACATTTCTAGCAAAAATAATAAGGGTGTAACTCACTAAATATTTAAAACGTATTCTATGTATAGGCAGTGTGTAAAAAGATATCAATAAACGTATGTTAAAGCGTGTGCACTTATATATTTAGGGTGAATGAAATTGGCAGTTTTTTGCTTATTTCTGCAATACCAAAACATGCATTGTTAATTGATTTGAGTATATCTTGCATACTTGTGTTGATTGTTTTCTTTCGTACACATTTCAGGCAGTTGCGAAACAAACGATTCCGTAAGCAGTGACTCTAAAGCAACTATAAACAATAAACTCACCAGTAACAAATATAATTTAAAATTAAAAGCCAGTATATAAACATAATCAAAATTAGCACACTATCAACTGAGCGATCGAACCACCGAACGCCTAAGTAACTTTGCTACCCGCGTACAATTAAACACAGCATGCACAAAAGCGATGGGCGGTTTCCTGGATAAGCCGAAAACAACTAAACATAACGACCATGGGGAAGGAAATAAACTTCTATTCGGCGTCAGTTCCATGCAGGGCTGGCGTTGTGAAATGGAGGACGCTTACTATGCATGTGCCGGTCTTGGAAGTGAGCTCGATGATTGGAGTTTCTTTGCCGTTTTTGATGGACACGCTGGTTGCAAAGTGTCAAAACATTGCGCCTCAAATCTGCTTGACTGTATCATTAGCACAGATGAATTTAGGAATGGTGACCACGTGAAGGGCATACGTACCGGTTTCCTACGCATCGATGAAATGATGCGGGGGTTGCCCGAATTAACTCAAGATGCAGAAAAATGTGGTGGCACAACTGCGGTGTGTGCGTTTATATCGCCCACACAAGTTTACATTGCGAACTGCGGTGATTCGCGCGCCGTGCTCTGCCGTCAGGGTGTACCGGTATTTGCAACACAAGATCACAAACCGATTTTGCCCGAAGAAAAGGAGCGTATACACAATGCGGGCGGCAGTGTTATGATAAAACGTGTTAACGGTACGTTGGCAGTGTCGCGAGCGCTAGGCGATTACGATTTCAAAAACGTTAAGGAAAAGGGTCAATGCGAACAATTAGTGTCGCCAGAACCGGAGATTTTTTGCCAAAGTCGCCAGGATACAGATGAATTTTTAGTTTTAGCATGTGACGGTATATGGGATGTTATGACCAATGAGGATTTATGCAGTTTTGTCCACTCGAGGCTGAGAGTTACAAACGATTTAGTAAATATAGCAAACCAAGTCGTCGATACATGCTTGCACAAGGTGCGGGAAAAATTGAAATAATAATAAATTTTAATATTTATATTCTATTTATAATATAATTTTTGCTTTCGACATTGCAGGGCAGCCGAGATAACATGAGCATAATAATAATCGCTTTCCCGGGCGCACCACAACCAACTGAAGAAGCCATAGAGGCGGACAAACGGCTGGAGAAGCAAATCGAGAAACTAACAAGAGGTTGTCTAAGTCGACTTTTTTGTTTTTAATCTTAATAATAAGTGTACTAGTCGAAATAACAGTTCATGTACTTAGTGCATAACACGTGTGGCGTGCGTACGAAACGCGTTAAATCATCTATAGGCAATAATTGAATTAATATATATTTAATAGTTATAGACAAGAATATCGTATGTGCTAACGTGAATATACATACATATGACGTCATTAATCGATTTACCTGCGTAGGATAAACGTCCTTTCTTTATTTATTTAAAATTGTTCCTTATCCGTGACCGCGGCAAATATGTAATTTTTTCTAGTCAATGCATATTCTTAATATTTAGTCTTTTCCTATAATGTGAGTTACTAAACTTAATAAGTTCTCCGTTTGCTACAATGACTGCCAAGGATTACTCCTACAGCTATAATATTTATTCTATTACCATTCATTCTACATATTACCGTTATTTGTATTATCCATTGCCTGACGGAAAACTCGATTTCATCAGGGTTGCAAATTTTTTGAATAAAAAATTTGATATTAAAAATTGAAAATCTAATTTTCTAAAACAACATTAAAATTAGGTTTATAATTGTGTCTATATGTTGACGAAAAAATTACATTTTAAATTCTTATTTCTGATGTGTGTGGTTTAAAATTTAAAATTAAAATATTTTTAAATTACTAGTTAAAATTTAATTTTGAATCCCAAACGTATTAGATTCTAAATTGATAATAGCTTAAATGTTTAAGTATTGAAAAGTGTAATCTTTTTATTTGACTTTTTTTAATTAATTAAATTTTTTTTATTTCTTCACTTTTTCCTGTTTTGAATTTTTTTTATTAATTAATTTTTTTCCTGTAATTTAATTTATTTTACTGTTTTTTATTTATTTTTTGTTTATCTCAATCTGGTATTTGGGGTAAAATTATTTTTAATAAGGGTATTCGGTATTCGGGATGATTTTTAATTAAAAAAGTTTAACTGAAATGTTATTATTTTTGCAACCCTGTAGTTCACCCATACATAATTTCAATTTAGTTGTTACAAACGATATCCGAAGAATACCAAAACATACTCACATATTTGCATGACGCTTTTAAAGCAAATATAGAATACCAAAGAATTTAACAATAACAGTAATTAATATTAGATAAATCAAATGTGTCAAGTTGTAGTAGCACAATTGAGAGCAAAGGCAGGCGGGTGGGCAATGGCCAAGTCGATAGTGCCGATTTAATATAATATAAAAAACTAATGTAAATACTAACATACAAATTTGCATAAAATGTATAGAACACAATAATAATTTTAGAATTTAAGGAATGTTTAGAAAATTTAGAAAAAAACGTGATTATTAAGCCACCGAAGGTCAACTTTATTAACTCAATTTGAAGTGAATTGAGATTATGTTTTGTTATATACACGCGTTTGAGAGTTGAAAAGCACTAGGTGTATTTACAAAATAACAGTATTACACTTAAAGCTCATTACAGTTAATATACGATAATAGAAACTACCGTAAATGCAAAATTTACGGAAAAGTGAATTCAAATTCAGTACAATTTCGTTATATACCATATGTACCTCTGCAATCCCTTTGCTTTACAAAACAAAAAAAAAAAAAAACGTAAAAACATAAAATACATTGTAGAAATAGTGAATAACATTAACTGTGAAATGATTAAACTAATCTTTAGGCATTTGATGCGTGTCATACTTCCACATACACAACCTCGCTTACTTATATACTAACAACAACAACATTGTTTTTGTCAACCTCTAGCTAAGATTAGCGTCCTTATGCTCACGTAAACCTTGCAATATTTGCTTAGTACTTTTTAAAATTAATTTACGTATTGTAGTACACATAAATAAGGCAAACGCAACAATCAAAACGAAATATGTATGTTCTCGGTGCATTCTGTGAATTCGTATGAAATCTATACAACTCTGTATTACATATATTTCTAAGTCATTGCAAATAGTGGAGGAGCGTAAAACCTCTAAGTATCTGTACAGTCCTAGCAGTTATTTAGGTGTATTGTAATGTACGAGTATATAAACGGAATTTAATATTAATTGCAAACCTAGTATTATATAATAAATCAAATAGCGAAAACTAGAAAAATACGTAAAACCTTTAAATATCATATGCCAGTATTACTTACGAATAGTAATGGTATTGTGAAAAATGTAAAAATGAATTTTGATGCGTGTCCAGACTCATATTTGCAAGTTAAGAAATAAATTCCTACTTTAAACTCAAGAAATTTAACTGATCGAGTTGTACTTTTCTCTACTTACACTCATACATATACAAACGCGTCCTCCCTTTTGTTGGGGTGCAACACAATCTTCAACATTTAACCTGCATTGCTTTTGAGTTACAAATTTCATGACTTTTGCTTTGCGCAAATTTAACTATCATTTATTTTTGTGTTTCAAATTCACACATACTTTTCTTTTTTTCTGTTGAATTTCTTTTGCTTGTTTTTGATTTGCAATCGCGCATATTGTCATTCGTAAAGAAATTTGTCGAAACACTCGTTAAGTGTTCTGATGATGAAAGCAATTTGTTTAAATAAGATTTAATGAACGTTTCAACCTATCGTAGACTTGCGTGTTTTTTGGTAGAAACAACGCGTTTAGAAAGAGCGTGAGCATAAGGTACGTTAAATCAAAATTCGTTTTTATTTTGTTTGCTAAACTAAGATTGTTATTGTTATACTCACTCAATTAACCTTATTCATTAGCAAAAAATAATAGTTAACTAATGCAAGTATTATAAAAATTATAATTTTTTCTATAAGGTTCATAATTATATTTAAAGTAAAATGCATGCCAGGCTGTTAAGTATTTAGTGGCTTGAAATATTTTGTTAGTCGAACAAAGTTTAATTTCAGTTTTTTACAGTTGAAATTAAATAACACTTATATTTTTCTAATTTTTTAGTTCACTAAAATAGGCAGATTGACTCCAAATCTTTAAACTTAAATTTAAAAATTACAAATTTTTCATATT